GATATAGTGATGGCTGGGAAGTGATTCTAGAAAACAACTAGCATTTATTTAATGCTGACTGGCAGACATTCTCAGAAACACTTTGTATATGTTCATTTTATTATCATAGCAGTCCTGTAATGTGGGAACCATTGTTAGCCTCATTTTTCAGATGAAATTGAGAAACACGTTTAAATAACTTGTCCAAGGTCCTTCTGCATTTGAACTCAGACAGTATGTTCCAAAGATTTTGCCCTCCACCTTTGTTGTTGCCTTCTAGTTAGATATGGAGAAATAATTGTCCACAAGAGGTTTTAGCTGGACAAAGAAATGCAAGAGGGTGGGTTTGGTCTAGAATATAGAAAATTGTCTTTGAGTATAATGAAAATAATAGGTACAGTTTACTGGCTATTGGTTGGTGGTGAAGTAGAATGAATAATTAAAGATTTCTTTAAAAATGTGGGAATGACCCCTGCCTTTGCAAGACTGTCTGCCACTTGCTTCCCTGTGGTTAATTTGGATGTACTTTCGTGAGTTTTGTGATAGTCGTAAGGTGTCATGCCAGCATCCCTGCTGGACTCTTAGAATCAAAGGCAGTTTCCAGTCTGCCTCTGGAGCCTGCTCTTGTCCTCCCATCTCCCTTCTTTTCACCAGCACTTGAGGCTATGGAGAATGTACACAAACTGCTGCTTCCCCAATTTGGCTTCTTATCTTGGGCTTTTCTCTTCCTGCTCCCTTTCCTCTGGCTCCCATGGGGATAATTTCTTTCTTTCTTTTCCCATGGGAATAATTTCTTATTTGTGATCTGATTTCTAGTTTTGACTTATACCCATTTGTCTGAGACTTTGTACGGCTCAAATTTGGACTCTGAAGCCCTAGACAGGAGTTTTGCCCATGTCCTAACTGGCTGTGATACCTTGCGCAGGTCACATGAGGTACTTTTCATTGTACTGATTTCTCTTGACCACCCTTGCCCAGTCTATTTCACAGTGTTATGGTATGAGTGAAATAAATTCATGAAAGTGTCTTTTAAAGCATACAACAGACATAGATGTATGATGTTAGTAATATTCCCAGCCCCTCTGTATAGTGTTATTCATTCTCTCCCTTGGTGCTCTGCATGGGCATGGTCTTTAGCCATGGGGCTTTTAGTGTTGCTTGCTTATTCATCCATGCACCTTTGATAGCCTTGGGTCTTTTTCTCTTTGAATTTCTTAGCACTTGACACAGTGCTAGCTACCATGGGTAGGAACTCAATAAATGTTTGAATGAATGGGTCAAGAATGTCTGTCTAAAGGAAGTTTGTGGTTATACTCATTTAACTTCTGAGCAGAGCTATCCTTAATCTCTCTGCATCTTGAAGTTAGCCTTGCTAAAAATCAGGCTTTTGATTTTTTTTATAGTGTTCATTTTGTAGGGTGTTAAATTCCAGTGCCTGTGGTTGCCTCCCCCAAGACTTATGCTTAATCTATAAATATTCTTTTGATGAGTCTTTGGAGAAACAGGTGAATCAAGAATTGATTCAAGATTTTGAATTACAGATGTGAAACATTTGATGTTTATTCTTTGTTTATTCCTTTAATAATAATTAGATGTCTTCTGTGCGCCAGCTTTGTTCTTGGGGCTGGAGATAGGGTAGTGAACAAAACAGACAGGATTACTGCCTTCATGCAGTTCACATTCTCGTGGGGTGTGCAAAACAGTGCAGAAGTGAATGAACAAGGAGATAATTTTAACTACTCTTTAGTTCTATAGGGGAAGTTGTGTGAGGAGTACTCCCTGAGAAATCAAGAACCCTCAACATGTGTAGATGAATTGAGTATGTTACTAATGTTATGCTTCTAACTTCACTGTGTTTTGGGTTACCTTGAATGCATATACTTGTCCTGCTAGTAGTGTGGTGTTTTTTTTTTTTCTTTCTCCTCTCCTCTTCTTTCCTTCTCTGCCTTTCCCACCTCTTACCCCTCTCTCCCGCTTCCTTCCTTTGTGCTAGGGATCAACATGTAGAGCCTCATGCATGCTGCCATGAACTTTATCACTGAGCTATGTCCCTAACCCATAGTGAATGCTTTAAGCTCAGAACCATTTGTGCCTTGTCCACAAAAAGTTATTGGAAGGTGTGTGTTACCTGGACTTTTGGCTTCATGAGAGTATCATCAATATGAAGGCTTCTCAAAGTTCTTAAGAACTCTCTTTGTTCAGGTTGCTGATATTTCTAGTGTCTCCGGGGCACCAAAGGAAGACAAGGTAGGGAAGTTGTTGATCACCCAATAATCATTCTGTACCATTCTGTCGCATCAGCGTACCCACATTCCCCATCTTTATGAAATTGTTTGCTTGCTTAGGGCCTTCTGTGTCTGAAACCTGTTCATTGCAGAGCCTACCAAGCAAGAAGGCAGGGTAGAAGATGAAAAGTAAAGAGCGACATATGGGGTACATCTAGATTTCTTTGAGGAGGTGACATGTGATCCAGTTTCTAAAGGATGAGACTGAGTCAGCTGTATGAAGATCTGGGGATTGGGGTAGTAGCCTTTAGGAGCCCCAAATGAAGAACTTTGGGGTCACAGAAACAAGTCATAGTGTCTAAAGTGTAAGATGTGAAGGGAAGAGTATTGCACAATGAAGTTGATTCAATAGGAAAAGTTATTCAGGGCCTTGTGGGCTATGGTAAATAATTTGGATTTTATTTTAAGTACTGTACTGAAGGCTAATTAGATGGTTTCAAGTATAGGAGTGATCTGACTTGGTTGATATTAGTAAATTTTCAAGTTACCTAATATAGGGAATGGGAGAATGGTGAAAGCAGGGAGCCTAGGCAGTAGGTGGTAGTTATAGCCCCTGTGCTTATTCCTGGCAGTGTAGACCAGGCAAAGCCTTGGAGGGCAGATGCAAGTTCAGGGCTGGGACACATGTTGAATATGAACTGATAGGGGAGATTGGTGTGTTGGAGATGGGTGATGAAAGAGTGGACCCAGAGAGTGCTAGGCTTTGGTTTGAACAGCTGACTGCTGCTGATGCTTGGTGATACTAAGTTATTGAGATGGGAAAGCCTGACAGACTTGGAACTGTATCTGATGGAGATGTCTTCCCTTTGACAGTGTTTAATTTGAAAGGCCTTTTAGACCCTCACGTGATACATTGACTGTGAGGATAGGGCTCACAGCGGGAGATGTCAGGGTAGAAAATTGAAATTGAGAACCCTCAGCAGGGAGATGAAATTTATCTTTTGATAACCCTCAGGATTTGAGGGTTAGACCATTTCTTTCATATAGGTTTACAGTTTATAGTCATTATTTTATCTGTGTATTATAGGTCATATCTTTTATTCAGCTGATTAAAGAAAAATTTGAACTAAATATTGTGCTGGATACAGGGAATGTGAGTATAGGAACTATACCTAATAAAGAAGATAGGTGATTCAATCATAATCAATCCAAGAATTTTATTAACATTCCACTGGAAATGAAGTATGACATGTTTCAGAACAGGGGAAGAGCCAGGTGGAGATCATACAGCAAAGGTACAGAACTAGTCTGGGTGTGGGATAGTGATGTTTCAGTGATAGTGAGTGGGAACTGACTGGAGTTATTGTGCTTCCAGCAGAGGAAACAATTAGTGGCAGATGGGCTAGCAGTTTGCACTGCAATTAAAATGCACAAAACCTTTCCTTGGAACTGGAAGATTCTGCATAGGGACTCTAGGATTCCTTGGCGAGCTTGTGTAGCTTATGAGAATGATAATGTTCATGTGGGTTGGTAATGCTAGTTTCATTGTTACCTGCTTCTGCACAGGTAAATTTGTTAGTTACTAGCAATTTTTACTGCTGAGCGCTCAGTGTTATTTTGGTGCAGTAAATATAACATCAGATTGGCAGCTTATATTACTTGCTAATGTGTGTGAGTTCAAAGAAGCAGGGAAATTTTTTTGCTTGGAAGCCCCTACCATGATAACCAAAGAAAAATAATTCTTTAGATCCATCTGCATTATTGTTAATTTTATAGAAATTATACACAGTAATGGGTATGTCTCCATATATTCACAATTTTGGAACAGCAAAAGCAATGACACCACTTTTACGGATGGAATATCAACACATTTTTTTTTCCTTGAGTAATCCTTGTAGAATTTTAAGGTGGGTCTTTTAATTTTCCTCAGGTTACTAGAATATTCTTTCAAAGCACTGACTCCTTGGTCAGGATCCTATAAATGACATAAGCAACCTTGTTAGCTGAGGAAAATGACAAATGTGTGTGACAATGGATAACTACTCTGATTCCCAGAGTTGTGAAGTTTCTTTGGGGCTGATTGTTACTTTCAGCAGAAGTAGCCATGTTGCTGCTCAGACCTAAAGGTAGTTGTCTCTGGGCCAGTCCCCTGTATTACCCACTTATCTACTTGCAGTTCCTGATCTTAGCAAAACTGTCTGGTACAACAGTTTTGTCTGGTACAACAGGGACAACTTTAAGAACACATGGCAGGTCCCACAGTACCTGAGTAGGAGTAGAGGCTGGTCACCTTGAAACAGGAAGGAAGATAGAAGATGTGGGCCCAGATGAGCATGGCTGGGTGGATATGGTAGGGAGCATGTGCTGGTTCACTTGAGTTGATTACTTTTTTTATGCCCAGAGACACCAGCAACATTGTTTCCATAGGTACAAACCCATCCCTCTTCAAGGCCTATGTGAAAAACTGCCTTTTCCATAAACCTCCACATCCTTCTCCCCTAAGAGGAAGTCATCTGTCCCTCCCCCAGACCCACTTACCTCCTCTACCTCTGACCTTCTAGTTGGCCTGTGAGTTCTGTGCCTACATCAGCTCTTATCTCCTTGACTCAGCCTCAGAGTCTCCTTTGTGGTGGTTGGTGCCCCAGTACCATTCAGAACCTCTTAGATGGAGAATAAACAAATGGGAATACTGTTTTGTTTTGCTTTGTTAAGGGGATAAGACTAGCTTTCCTTCATTTCTGAAAAGATTATTTCTAAATTCTGATAATTGTGTAAATGAAAACTTTTTCTTTTCAGATAATGTGGATGCAGGTGATCTTAAGCAGTTTTTTGAGACCAACTATTCACAGATATATTTCATCTTCTATGAAAATTTTATAACACTGGAAAATAGTTTAAAATTAAAAGGTAAGCATTTCTTTAATTTTCTAACGAAATTTTAGAAGTTGTATCTGTTATGAGCCATACGTTCTACATTTTTTAGCTTTATTTGTTTTCTTGTTAGGCCTTCAACAAAGCTGTGAGATCATGATGGACTTGTTGATATCTTTGTTTCCATTGAGTCTTCCCTTTTGCAGATGTTAATTGAACAACTAATAGGTAAAGAGAAAATAGTAAAGTGACCTGTAGAAGGTATAAATTCCAAAGGAATAATTTTATTTAAAAAGAAGAAGGAAAATTAATATGTGTACAGTATTAAAAATTCAGATTTCATTAGAGGGTTTGGAATGAAAATAGAAATATCTGCTTTGACCAGATTTTTTGTCCTCCTTTGCAGAAGCAACCTGCATGGAAAGTTTTATGCATATCTTTCCATATGTTATTAATGTCTTATGTTTATGGTTTTGCCTATATATAAAAAATTATTTGAAAGGCAAACTAAAAATGTTACATGTATATCCTTGCTGTGTATTTAAGTGGCAGGATAGTGTAGTTGGGGATCCAGACTAGCCCCAGGGGTTGACCTTTCTCTGGGGTGGCTTCTTCCTGTTAGCATTAAATAGGTTAACAGGTATCCTAGGATTTTAGAACAGAATTTGACACATTTACATGGTCAGTAAATGTTAGCTGGCATTACTACCTTCATCTTTTGTTTTCATGTTATCTGTTGGGGAGATCATTTTAATTAGGATAAACAAACCAAATATCTTTTTCTACTCTCACACCACTCAGCCCAACATTCTGACATCTTATTTTCCAGTGGAAATTATCTGGGTGCCCTGTAACTCAATTCAGTCCTGATGATGATGCTCTCTACTTGGAGATAGCATCAGATCTCACAGGTTAAAGTCTCAGTTAAGAGCCTCACACTGCCCCCACTTCAGATTGCCAGTCACAAGCTCCAGGTTGTGACTTTTTCCTGTGACAACTGGCTATAATTAGGGGTTCCTATGACTTGCTCCTTGGGTTTGATTAATTGGCCAGAACAATTCACAGAATTCAGAGAAACACTTCCTATTTACTCATTTATTATAAAATGTTTACCCATTTATTACAAAGGATACAAATGAATAGTAAGATGAAGAGATACTCAGTGATGTCTGAAAGGGTACAAGGTGACCTTTTTATGTAAGGAGAAAAAAATAAGATGATGACTGTAGACACAAAGACATATTAAGGTTGAGAAGAAAAATGGAGGGGCTTCCTGTCAGATGCCCTGATTCCTCCAGTCAAACAGAGGTACATGTCAAGTGTGGAGGGGAAGGGATTTGGGACTAGGCAACAAGGTGGGCTCTGACCCACAACAGGTGTCTTATAGTCTTAGTGAATGCTGTGGACTCAAACTAATCATCAAGTCATATGTGAGCATGTGCCCAGGATACCAGTGCGTTTTATTTTTAATGGATTTCTCAGTCCCCACCCCTGTCTCTGTGATGTATAAATTAATGTAACTCTTGAGTTTGAGTTTTTCCAAATTGGTAAATATTTAAAATATAAAATGGTTTGATATTTATCTTGTTTCCTACTCTTACCCCAGTTCATTTTCTCTCTCAGGTGTGTGGAGGAGAAAAGTGTGATATTGTGTACAATTTAAATAGTAAAGATGGGCTGGGGTTGTGGCTCAGTGGTAAAGCGCTTGCCTAGCACATGTGAGGCACTGGGTTTGATCCTCAGCACCACATAAAAATAAAAAAAAAAAATAAAGATATTGTGTCATCTTAAAAAGAATCTTTTAAAAATAAATAAATAGTTAAAAAATAGCAAAGAAAATTAAAACCCCAGATTAAAAAATATATTCTACCAAAACCCCCCTCTTTTTAAAGGGTTTCCCCTTCTTTGTCTTTCTCTACTGTCCTCTTTCTTCTTTCTTCTGTCCTTTTAGAAAAATTTGGCTGTTTATGACTATCACTTAATTTGTGCTGCATAAGAAACCACACTAAAACTGAATGCCTTAAAACAGTGTTTATGATTCTCTAGGTATACAGGAAGTTCTTCTTAATTAGACTGGCTCTTGCCTGTGAGGTCAGCTAATATTGGATGGCCTCCTTCACATAGTCTTGTGATTGGTGAGCTGCTGATTAGCATGCTTTAGTTCTCCATACAGCTTCTTATTACCCAACTAGCAGACTAGGTTGGACTCCTTCATTTGGTGGTAGAGTTCCAGGCTCAGCAACTTTCTCACATTTGCTAATGTCACTTTGGCCAGAGCAAGTCATATGGCATCCCAGATTCAAAGGATAGAGAAAGAAATATCTCTTGAAGGGAGGGGAAAGATTGTGTTCATTTTTTCACTTTATCACAGGACTCAATGAAGAACCACTAAAAACAGGGTGACATTTTTGAAGTTTTTTTGCTTTTAGTATAATCTGTTATATTGAAAGTGTGCCCCCAAAAAGGAATAAAAAAGAAAACGTTTATTAGGCATAATGAAACCACTTTGTGATAACTTCAACTTTCCAGTTATTCATGCCAAAACTTGGAGTTATTAGCTCTACTTTCAAAATATATCCAGAACCTTTGGCCTTGTCTCATTGCCTATACCAGTAACAGTGCAACTCCTGTTATCCTATCACAGACTATAGCAGTAACTTCAGAAAGGATCTCCTTGTACCTTTCCCTACCCCCAAATCTCTTTTAAAGAGTAGCTGGAGCCATGCTTTAAAAATGTGAGTCAAATCATAACTCTGTGGCTCTAACCCTCAAATGGCTTCTCATTCCCAAAGTTTTTACAGTGACCTCAGGCACTACCTAATCTTCCTTTACCCTGCTTACTCTCTAGCCTCAACTGCTAGAATCTTCCCTTCTTTACTCCAGCCTCAAGGGCCTTCTGGATGTTTCCTTATCCTGCCAGACATTCTCAGCCACAGGAACTTTGTACTGTCCGGTCCCTCTGCCTTGAGCATTCATTCCTCCCTCAAATTTCCATATGGCTTGCTTCCTTACCCCCAGTTTTCATATAGCTTGTTTCCTTACCTCTTTGAATCTTTACTAACTTGTTACTCTACCAGAAAGGCATTCCTTGCCTTCCCTAATCAAAATTGCACACCACCCCTTTTTGATTGCTCCAACTTCTTTCCCTCTTGGTTTTTCTCACTTATTAATTAATTAATTATTTTTGAAAGTCCACCTTCCCTGGCAGTTTTATTTTATTTTTAATTGATTTTTTAAAAAAATAAATGACAGCAGAATGCATTACTATTCTTATTATACATATAGAGCACATTTTTTCATGTCTCTTGTTGTACATAAAGTATTTTCACACCAATTCATGTCTTCATACATGTACTTTGGATAATGATGTCCATCACATTCCACCATCATTGCTAACACCCTGTCCCCTTCCTTCCCCATCCACTCCTTTATAGAGTGCCTTCTGCCAGAATGTAATCTTCCTCAGGGCAGGGATTGTTGTCTGTTTTGTTCATTTCATGTAGCTTCAGGGGCTAGAATAATCCCTGAAATATAGACATTCTTTAGTATTTGTTCAATGAGTGAATGAAACACTTCACAGAACTGTGGAGATTCCATTATATCAGGGGCCTGTAACTCATAGTTTGCTGCCTGTTTTTATAAATAAAGTTTCACTGGACACAGCTATACCCATGCCTAACATTTCTAAGGCCTTGGGTTCCATCCCTAGCACTAACAAACAAACAAACAAAAAGCAGTGTGCACATTTTAAATAGTAATAGTGCTGAACTGCTTTCCACTATAAAGATTATATAAACTTATATCTAAGTCTTATATAAATTAATCTATGTATTACCTGTGGCTGCTTTTGCATTATAATATCTGTATTGAGTGATTATAAGGAAGACTTAGAAAACCTTAAGTGTTTACCAGAGAACCGAAACCTGAAGTATTTATTTTTAAGAAAAAGTTTGCTGATTCCTAAGGTAGATGATGTAAGCTGAGCACAAAGCATACAAATTCTGGTATAGAGAAGACAATAAATGGTGACTGTTCCTGGAGGTGTTGTGGTGATTATTATTGTTATTATCAAAAGAATAGTATATCATTGCCCAAAGAGATACTGCTTTTTACACATGTTACTTGCTGTATGCCTGTTTCTGTGACCAAGCTAGAACTCTTTGTTTTTGCTGTCATTCAGCCACAATTTGAGCTTATAATAAGTAACTAGTTGAGAAGTGAATGAATTATCTGCTCCTGGTTGAGGAACACAGAAGCTGTGTCTAGCAAGGGGCAGTTCTGGTCTGCTCAGTTGTCATTGCATTTCTTATATGCTGTCTTTAGGTATTTTTGTATAAATTAATGTTTGTTGATGCTTACATGTTTCAAGGTGATTATTAACATAATGTGTAGTAACCTAGAGTTTAAATGTTATCTTGATAACTATCTTCTTTTACTGTTTCAGGGAATAATAAGTCACAAAGGGAGGAGCTGGACTCCATCCTCTTTCTTTTTGAAGTAAGTTTTGGTTAATTCTTTCAGCTTTTAAGATTTTTATAAAAGAGAGATATTTTAGATTTTTAATTTCATTTGAAAACAAATAGAAATAAATGGCTGTAGGTGGATGTGTTCTTCCTTCTTTCTTTTCTTCCTACTTTCCTTCCACTTTTACAAACCATGCAGCAAAGAATGTTCTTGTGATTTTTTTAATAACATGGGAAATTTTTTCCTGTATAGCTAACTATAAGTGAAGTTATTAGATGGACGAATTAAGTATGTCTATTTTAAGGGGTAGGGATGTAGCTTAGTGGTAGAGTGGTTGCCTAGAATTTCCAAGGCCTTGGGTTCCATCCTTAGCACTAACATAAACAAACAAAAAACTGTGCACATTTTAAGTAGTAATAGTGCTGAACTGCTTTCCATTATAAAGATTATGTAAACTTAATATCTAAGTCCTATATAAATTTCCTCTGCTGGAGATGATTTGTCTTTTGATAAATGCAGACCTCATTGTTTTTATATGTATATTTTCTGAATACTAATAAGGTTGTGATTTTTATTTGTATCTGAATATCTGTGTGTTGATAATATTCTCTTCAAAGCTGGCAGAATGTTTAGCTGCAGGTTTCTTTTTTTTTTTTCAATATACTTTTATTTTATTTATTTATTTTTATGTGATGCTGAGGATCAAACTAGTGCCTCACATGTGCTAGGCAAGTGCTCTACCACTGAGCCACAACCCCAGCCCTTGCTGAAGGTTTTACTGTATTAAGCTTAAAATCTTTCTTACCTAGATGTATTAGTTAAGTGCCTGATTATGGGTATACAAAGAGCTACCCTCAGAACTGAATTATAAATTCTGAAAGTTAATTGTTGATTGTCTAGAAATTACTCATGTTTAGAAGTACTTAGGTTGGTGTGACAAGAGAAACGTTTTTGGCTATGGAGGACAGGCCAAATATGCACTTGCTGCAGAGTTGGCTGGAGGGGAAGACCAGGGCGGGAAAGCTTTCTGTGGGAGAATGGTGAGTGGCTATTTGTGTTTATGAAATAAAGCAAGATATGGGAACTTGCCAGCTCAGGACTTGGCTCATGACTGGTGCTTAATAACATGGTTCTCCTCTTTCTCCTTTGAGAGTGGTACTCCTTCCCCAGAGTAACAGACATTGATTCATGGTATATTTTATGGTGGTTATTGTGTTTCCTATGGTTACCCTCCTGTTAATGAACCCTCTTCAGAGGAGTTATTTTTAAGAGGAGCTTTAATTAAGTCTACTACTTAAATATGAATATGCTGATCATCATTTGTTCGAACTCTTCTGTTAAATTCAATTATTTTTTTTCTCTAATGGGTGATGCAAATGTGAGTTATAGAATATGCTAATAAAACCTGTACTGCTGATACCCTCCTTTTTGTCCATTTCGTGGACTAGAAGGTACTTGGGTGCTCCTCCTTGTTGCCATCCTTCCTTAACTCTGTAGGCAATCACTCCCTAGAAACTTATCAGTGGCTGACAATGGCATAGTATTTACATATAACCTACACACATTCTTCAATATACTATAAATCATTTCAAGATGACTTATAAGACTTAATATAATGTAAATGCTATGTAAATAGTTGTTATACTATATGATTGAGGGAATGATGACAAGGGAAAAAAAAGCCTATACAGTTCTTGGCTATTGTATTCTCAAATGCTGACACTTGACTATACTTTCTAGGATTCTTATTTAAACTTCTTGTTCTATCTTTTCTGTCTCTTAAGATTGCTTTTGTTTTCTCTTCCCCAAATCTCTTGTGTTGCATTCTGGGAAATCTCTTCAATTCTTTCTTCCAGTTCAGTAACTCTTTATTCAGGTCTAATCTATTGCTTAACTCAGCTATTGAGCTGTAAATTTCAATGATATTTGTTTCACATTTTCGTAGGTTTTTGAATCGGTATTGTTACGTAGCTGATTACTTTTGATAGCCTCTTGACCCTTGTTCCTTTTTAGACATTTAAAAAATTTTCTTAAATGTTTACTGTATAATATTTCATATTTTATATCTGACAATGCTAATATGTGAAGCCCCTAATGGATTAAACCTGTTGGCTATCTCAGTTGTCTCTCACTCAGAGTGACTTTTTTTCTTGCGTATTTTGTGACATTTGATTTTGAGATCAATATTAATTGGACACAGATCCAATATTTATCAATTCTGGTTTCCAGATGGTTTTTCTTTTCTTTGGCCAGGAATCTAGGACTGGTCTTGATTGGGATCACTTTAGCTTCCTTTGAGGGTCCTGGTTTATTAATGACATTTCAGGTTCAGGCTTACTCTGGGTTGGGGCCTGGGGTCTGGAGGGAACAGACATCTGGAGATTCTAGTGCTGGTTTTGACATTAGCTCCCTGCTACCCTCCATTCTTTTCCTTGCTTGTTGATCTCAAGTCAGATTGTGGTTCATGTTTTATCTCCCTCACTCTTCTTTCTTTGTTCTCTTCCTCTACTAATTTTTTTAGTCCCTTATTAGTTTCTCTAATGTCTCAAGAATTATATTTATTGATCCCAGGGCTAGCTGTCCTGCAGCAGAAAAGTCCTTCTGGCATCCTAGTTCTTAAGTCTCTCACAGAAGTTTCAGTTCCTTCCCTTCAAGTCCAAAAATTCTAGAGCAGGGAGGATTATTAGTGATACATTAACTTTCACAGAGGATTAGTTGCCTGTGTAATAGAACAAATATATATTATTCAAAGCTTCATAAAGTTTTCATTTTGTTTAGTAAACAAATGAATATATTATGCTCAATTGTCTGTCTCTCGATTTAGAAGGGAGGTTGTTCTTTGTATGTTTCATTATGGGTATCTTTCTTTCTACATTAGTGCCATATTAAGAAATGGTTTGTGAGGGCTCCAGAGTGACTACTTATCAATATGTAAATAATTGGGAAAGGCTTCTTTTAGAAGAAGTAGAATTTATTTTATTAAGATGTATCATTACAAAAGGGATATTATGTAGGAATATTTTATAAACAGGAAAGAACTGTAAGAAAGTAGAGAAGTATGGAAATTAAGAAGGTACAGAAGAAGAGTATGTATGTGAAGAGAGCTGCAGCCTGCTTTTGTCAGGAGCAAACTGAGAGGGAACCTTTGGAAACAGAAATAGTAGTTTTGGATGTAGCAAGCTTCTGGAGGTATTTCAGTGTTTTGGTAAAGTAAGTGATATGTAATCAAGGCTACTAGTTTAGCCCAGGTCACAGTTTAGGCAGTCAGTAGACCTTTCCATCTGTCTTTACATCCAGTAGGAGCACATGTATCCTTTGGAGGTTGACCTTCTAACTAGCTGTCTTTGCTTTAAATATGTGTACCACCTAGGGTTTCTATTATTGTTGATTCATGGAGGTGTTTATCACAAATTTTACTATGATTTTGAGTCTTCTTTTAAAAACATTTCATCCATGATTGTTATATGTTTCAATTGGAGAGGTGGGGTTGATCGTGTGGAACCCCAAAACATGAATTTATATTGCTATCTTGAGCAGACTGTAAATGTTTTTCATAGACCATCCTGTTTAATCTTTTCCTTCTGAAGTAGGTTCCATTTTAACCTGTTATTATGGATAAAAAATTGGGGTGGGGTGGGTGGATTTGTGGTCTGTCTTAACATTGCATATTTGGCAAATGGTAGAGCAGGGAGTTAGCCTGTGGTCTGATTCTAGAACCCATATTTTTAACTTGCGGCCACACTGTCTACCCCTTAAGTCTGGATATTGTCTTGCCTCTCAAGCTGCATTCTACCATCTATGTCAACATGTATTCATTGTTGTATAGTCCATTCAATCATTCATCAGGCACAATCTGCTGGGTTCTACTGTGGTAGGCACAAGTCTAGGTGCTGCAGATACAACAGTGAGCAAGATAGAGAGCCTCTTGTCCTCATGAACCATATGTAAACATTTCATGATAAGCTGAAGAGTCCACCAGTAAGAATGAATTTACATCAGAACTCTAGGAAAGACCTGCTGAGTTACAAAATTCTGAATGCCCATTTCATAAGTGTGATGTTGGTGGTGGCCCTTGAAGTAGTTACCTGTGTAGGGGAAAGAAGGGTTGGGGTTGAAAGTGTAAGATACCTGGTGATAGGCTTCAAAGAAAAAGAATTCATTTGACTTTGAGAATCTTCTGGATTCAGCTCTTGAGAGGTTATTTTAATGGTATCCAGTGTTTGTTTTAATCTGGTGTAAGACACACAGATATGATAATAATTTCCATGAAGGGAGAAGTTTTAATCATGCACACAGTTCTCTAAAAACAGGGTATGGAATGCCACATAGGGCCACCCCAAGGAGCACCAAGGGGAATTCAGCAGGCAAAGAAAAAGTGGAACTGAGGGCACGTGCTTTTGTTGTAGCTTTGCAAGAGGGAATGGTCAAGGCAAGGTAGGCAAGCTAAGTAGGTTTAGAATTGAATAACTTAAATAATTTCAGCAGACTCTGGGTCATAGGGGTGGCACTTGGTTGTCCAGTATCTGGCTTCTGAGTGAATATAGAAGGGACATAGTGTCTCAGAGTGTGAGAGCTCATAAATGGAGGTGGGCTTATGGGCTTGGGGATTGGTTGGTTGGCATATCAAGAGCATACTCTTGGACACTGTCTCTAGGACTTAGTTAACACTGGTAGAGGATATTTTTCTCAGGTCAGTAATGCCTCAGATGTCAGAATATTAATACAGAAAATATAGTTAATACAGGGACATCTGTCATGTTGTATGCCATTCCCTTTGAGTAGAGAAATAGAATAGTTCAGAGGTATACATATATGGTTAATAAAGCTACTAGAATCTGATAGCACAGAATTTCCTTACTTTCCCATATATAGAAGTTGTTTAATTTTAAAAGCTACCTATGTTCAGGCTACTCACTCAGTTGTTTTCCTGATCCCAGAGTTAGACATTATGGATAAACAGCACAGTTGTTTTCATTATTCCTTATTCTAAATTTTGTATGAATTATTCCCCAGTTTAAACCCTGTTTTTATCT